TTCGCGTATAGCTGCTGTGAGGATAAAGAAAGAGAATAAATTGAAGTCCTCATATTTAGTGACAGGCAGCAATGATTATCACCATATTCTTCTCCATCTTTTCACCATCATCACCACCAACTAACTCAGAGAGACAAAGGATCCAAGATTCTGACCAGTTAGCCAACTATCACAAGGGTTCCAAAGGTTCTGTTGCTAAGCCTGGACAGAATAAGCAAATTCTGAAAATATGAGATTCCAAGACAGAATTTTCATAGGAATCTGCTTCTAGAAAAGTTCTTAGTGGGACTTCCCTGGCGGCTCAGTGGTTAAGACTCCATGCTCCCAATGCAGGGGGCCCGGGTTCGATCCCTGGTCAGGTAAATAGATCCCACATGCTGCAACTAAAGATCCCACGTGCCACAACTAAGACCCAGTGCAGCCAAATACATAAATAAATAAATATTTTAAAAAAAAAAGAAGAAAGAAAAAAAAGTTCTTAGCAAAGAAAAAAGGGCAATTACTGCCCATGAGCTCTGAGCAAACCCCAAATACCCTTCTCACCTCTGCCAGCCAGGGTGAGAATTCCATGAGAATCTTGGAAGTTCCCATTTCTCATTTCTATACTACCAAATGGTTATTATAAATGTGCTAAGCCCCAGGCATTTCAGAAAATCCCAAGTAGAGAAAATCCATTTTCTTACAAAATCAAACCAAATCTTACCCTTAGTAATTCTCCCCTTCCTGAGCCCACTGGGCTGCCAGCCCCGCCTTGCACTGCAGCAGTCCAAATAGAATATAGTAAAGCCAGACTGCCTGAGTTCAAATCCTGATCTCACCACTGTTTCCCTCTGTGACCTTAGGCAAGTTACTTAGCCTCTCTGTGCTACACTTTCCTCACCTATAAAAGGATAATAATAATAGACTTACTCTAAGAGGTACAATACCCATACACGGTACATGCTCAATAAACTCAGCGATGATTATCCATACTCTTAACACTCCAGTAGTAGCCAGTGCGCAAGGTCAGAAGCCACATCTTTGGGATCTGGGCTCCTTGGGGGCTTGTCACACCGCACTCCTCTTCCAAGAACAGACTTTCTCTCTTAGGAGAGACAGGAGCCAACAGCCTGGGCAGAACCACAGGCCAGAGAACGAGCTGGCAGCAGGGGACTCCAGAACCACGGCGGCCACAGGCCGCAGCTAGCAGTGAGAGGCCCAGGTTGGGAAGCCTGTGATGAGATGCGCCTTCACCAAGGAGCCGGCTCTGGACAGACCCACGCCCGGGTGATTCCCAGGGGTAGCAGGTGACGTGGGCTTCCTCCTTGGGCAGCTGTCAAGCTAGTGTTGTCTTCTCTTACCCTCAGTTTTCCCGTGTCCTAAACGAGGGCCACGGATTTCCAGGTCTTCCCAGGACCGAGGTGGAGGGAAGGGTGTTATAAGGCCCGCAGGCTTCCTGTCCATTCACAGCACCCAGGTCTCAGTCTTAGTTCGCGCTGCTTACCAGCGCCCCGGCTCTCTCCTCACCCCTGCACGCACCTCCCAGCACGGGGCCTTCCCCTTCCGGAGAGGCCAGCACAGGCTCAAAGAACCGAGAAAGGACGAAGTGCTTGAAGTTCTGTTTTGTGTGGTAGGAGGAAGAAAGGGATGTGTAGCCGGTCTTAGCATCCATTTCCCTTTCACAGGAGGACCTTCCTCACAGACGCCAAGTAAAGGGAGAGAAATGAAAAGTGAAGAGGGTTCCCATGGCTGGGATGCTACTCCCCAGCACCCCTCGAAGACATTCCCTGTGTTCGGCAGGTAGGCCGCATATCTGCGCAGTTAGCCTCCTGACAACCTGGGTTCTCAGCCTCTTCCCATGCATCCTGCTGATTCGACATCACCTTACAGTTTGTCTTGAGGCTTTTCCAACTCAGAAATTCAAACTGTGTGATTTGTACACCAGGCTGCAACTTATAAAGGGCTTTCATGTAAAGCATCCCCTTTAATCTTTGCAAAAAACCTGTAACATATATATCATCCCCATTTTATAGCCACAGAAACTGAGGCATAGAGATTAGGTAACATCTCTGAGATCACCTGGCGGAAAGCGGCAGCACCAGGTCTTGGCTCCATGTTGGCTACTCCTGTCACCACATCACAGATGGCTCTGGCCACAATTCACCCCGCCTCCCACCCCCACCCCCGCCGCCGCCCTGCGCTTCGAGCCTGGGTTAGACATCCCTCCTAAGCGGCCCGCAGGCTTCTCCAGAACCCAGTCCTTACCATGCAGAACTCAACTCCCTGAGGGCAGGGACTGTGTGACTGGGCTCCTTCTCAGGGCTATTACCCAGCACCTGGCACATGCTCATCGATGGGCACCTAATAAATGGCTATTATGTGAATGAGTGAATGTTTGACCAATTAACAAAGCGATGAGACTCTGAATAGCCAGAGCTGCACAGCCTGGCCCCTATGACCTCTGATTTTGATCCCACCACATCTGACTTCTCAATCCTGGTCTCTGCTTGCCGAGGAGATACTGAGTCTTACCCAGGGCAATGCTGACTTGAGCAGGAACCAAGAGCTCCTTCAAAGCAGCTTCCTAGCCACCATCAAAGGCTCAGCAGGGGCCAGGACACCCGGTGAGGCAGGCTTCCCACTTCTCGTTAACAGCCACAATAACTGGCATCTGTGCCCCTGCTCTCACGCAGGCAGGGCTCACACAGTCCCCAGACACAACACGTACATGAGGGCTCCGGAGACGATGGGGAACACACAGGTGACCACTTCCCACTAAATAAGAACAAGTGGAAGTGGGGCCGGGGCCAGAGTCATCAGCCGTGGGAAGGAGGCAGCCAGGTACAAGCACCACCAAACAGAATCCTTCTCCAGCTGTGCAGGGATGGAAGAGGCCAGGAGCAAGAAACTCAAACGCAGCAGTGTCGTGTGAGGCCCAGCAGGACCCAGCCAGGCTCTGCTAATGCCGAGGACAAACCCAGGGACAGCAGCTGCCCCTCCCAGTCAGAAGACGAGTCAAGGGAGAGTCTGCAGACCCTGACTGCAAACACTGCAGGGTGATCCAGGGGCTGAGAGCTCTGGGAAAGCACGGAGTGGAGAGGCACATCTGAAGACTTCCTGGAGAGACAGAAAGGAGCTTTGGGCACAGCAGGCTACTTTCTTCGGGACAGTGAGTCACGTCTAATGTTCACACACAGCTCTTAGCGTGGCTCTCAAGAGGGTAAGCTCCTTAAGGGAAACAACCATATCTTATTTGTCTTTGAGAGCCCAGCTCAGGACGAGGTACAGAGTGGGTTCAACGGAGCTTGACAGGAGAAAAGACAGAGTGACCCATGCGGGGGAAAATGGCAGAAACGGAGTGGAAGGAAGAGCCCAGAGGAGAATGGATGAGCTTCACGGCAGGTGAGAAATGAGGAGGGACCAAGGGGGAAGGAAGCAAGGGCTGACGGGTGGGAGCCCTGTGGGAGCCCGGAGGACAGTGTGGAGTGTGGGCAGTGAGAGGCGAGTCCAGGAAGACCCAGCTCTCCCAGTGTCAGCGGGAGGCAGTCCCAGGAAGGGAAGTGAGAAAAAACAAGTGATGTGGAGGGAGGGAAGAAAAACAGTCCTGAAATAACAAACACCAAACAGCAGGCCCTCTGCTGAGGAGGCAGGAGTCCAGAGCCCCAATAGGCAATTATCAGGGATTCACAAACACGGCAATTACAGAAAGGAAACAGAAGCCACAGAAGCTGGCCACCCAGCTGCATCCACCTCCAGCAGGGCAGACACTCAGTGGGAACACAGACCCCAGCCTCCAGACTGGCTGCTGAGTCCACACTTCCTTCCGCAAAGGGGGTGGAAAAGTGGAGAAAACAAGAGTGCCCAGACTCAGTTGCTGTTTGTGGTTCAGGGAACCACGGAAGCCCCAGAATCTGGCCTTCTGCAAGCTCCCTGAATCAGGATGCCACTTGGAGAAAGGGACTGATTTGAGAGACCTCCAAAATCTGGCCTGGCATGGGAGCAACGGCTGCAGGGCGGGGTAGCAGAGGAGCTTACTGACCCCAGGATCCCGGGAGAAAGGGAGAGGCAGACCATCCACTGCTCCCTCCTGAAACAGCCCCTGCCTCTCAGCGCCCACTCGGTGTGCGGGCCTTCCAAGACACCGGGGTCCCCCGCTGGCAGAGAGCTGGAGGCCTGGCTGCTAGTTTTGCTTGGGCACTGCTACCTAGGTGTGGCCATCAATAAAGCAGCTAACAACCCATTCCCGCCTCTCTACGGTAAGACTTAATGTTTGTTTTTAAGATCTTTTAAGATGTCCTTGTACTTTCTGCCAAACGAGAGCTTCCTGCTTCAGTGTCTCCAAAAAGCTCAAGACGCAGGTTCTCACATCCTGTCTCATAGAGTCACCTTCCCAAAGGGCTCCATCCCCGCCCTCGGAGAAGCCCAAGCAAGCTCCACCTTGGAGTCCTAAGCTCCAGGCTCCATGGCAACCGAAGCTCTGGTCTCCCAGTTGCCCTCTGCACAGGTCCTCCATTGCCTTCTGACCAGCAAGACAAAAACAAATTCCGGCAGAGGCCAAGGACGCTAGGACTCCAAAGCCCCCTGGAAACATCCCTTCCCCGGCCCAAACCACCCACTCAGAGCCTGCGCCGCTGCTTCCTTTCCCGATGTGCACGGACAGCGCGGAATTCTTCAGGGACCGAGATGAGCCCCCTTTCAGGCCAGGGAAAGGCCCGAGGGGCAGGAGGACCGGGACAGGGCACTGCGGGACCGCCGGAACCGGGGCGGGCGCCGCGAGGCTGGAACCGAAGGTCCGGCCGGGAGCCCGCCGAGCAGGAAATTCCACCTGTCGGGTCGGCGCCGCGGCCACAAGCCGGCAGCGTAGCGGCTCCCTTGGCCGAGAGAAGCTCGGTGTTGCCGGCCCCCTGGGACCCCCGGCCCCCAGCCCCCGGGCCCACCGGTCCCCGGCCCCCCCAGGCCCCCGGCCGCGGACCCCCGCGCGTCCCGCCCCGAAGGCGCCCGCGCCGCCCGCGCTCGCCCACCTGCGGCCGCGAGGTGTACTTGAGTCCCGCGCCGAGGCCCCCGGAGCCGCCTGTGCCCCTGCGCGCCCGCTCGCTCTTCATGGTCCCGGAGGCCGTGTGGCTCAGGCCATCGCCGCGGGGCCGGGGCGTGGCGCGGGTCTGTTCCGGTCTCAGGCCCAGCGCTCCGGCAGCCGTGGCTCTGCCAGGCCCTTCCTGTCGCGCACAGGTAGTTTCAGGGTGTGGCGGACCGAACAGCTGCGAAACTTAATCCCGCCCCCGCCGCCCTCCTCCTCGAGTAGAAGTGGCCCTTTCCGCTGGAAGACGACCTCCCTGCCGCCTCCTAGAGGCCCACCTTGGTTTCTTTCCCTCCCTCCCCCCTGCATCTTCAATTTGTCCCCACCTTGCTCCACATCCAGGTCTCAGTTATAACCTTTCCAAACCCAAACAAAACCCAGAACCGCCCCTGGCTCAGACTCCCGCTCCGGCCACTGCCCTCCTCTCGCTCCAGGCCAGCAGTTGCCTCTTCTGCCAATAGGAGAGCCGCGCTGTGGCCGAGTCCAGCATCCCCCTGAGTTCCTCAACCCAGTACCCTCTTACCTGTCCCCAGCCTCCCTCACCCATTTGCAGCATCCGATACCGATTGATCCCGTCCTCAAATGCCCGCCTTCCCTGGATTCCGGTCCTACTTTCTGGCCCCTGAATGTCAAGGTTCCCAAAGCTCTCTCTTCAGCCTCCTCCTTTTTTTCTCTACACTTTCTTGGCAACTCATCTTGTGGCTTCAAGTAAGTAAATCTGCCTTCCTAGCATTGGCATAGTGAAGGAGTGCCACTTGGGCATTTGCAATTGCTTGGGAACTGCTCCATTTGTGTTCTACTGGCGTTACAGCGTCAACAATTATTATTGAGCACATATTATATGCTAAGCACTGTTCTGGGTGCTGGGAAACAAGAGTAAACAAAATAAAAACCCCTGCTTTGCAACCAGCAAGCCCTGAACTTCCTTCCCAGACTTGCCATCTTGCACTGTTTTCTCCATTTATAATACTTACTGTTCTCCTAGGCTCAAAACCGTGGAATCGCCTTTGACTCTGCAGGCCCCTTGCATCTCATACCTAATTCGTTCCAGACCTGAGCAAGTCTTTCTCTTTAGTAGCTGATGTGTACCACCTCTTTCCTCCCCATTCAGAAGACCCCACTTCAAGCTCTTATCACCCTTTGCCTGGATTAGTATAAGAAGCAAATGGAGAATGTGCCCACCCTGTCCATGCAGAGAGGCTGAGGTGCCCAAGCTCTGGCCCGAGGCACCAGGGTGCCAGGGCAGCAAGGATGTCGGCTTTGTTAGTCCGGGCCACCGTCCATGCTGTGAGCCAGAGGAAGCGGCAGCCCACCCGGGCCACCCTCACCCTGATCCCTTCAGCAGTAAACAAGATAGAACAACTTCTGAAAGATAAGCCTGAACACGTAGGTGTGAAAGTTGGTGTCCAAACCAAGGGCTGTAATGGCCTTTGCTACCTGCTAGAATATACGAAGACAGGGAAACTCTGGTGAGGAGGTTGTTCAAGATGGTGTCAGCATGTTCATCGACAAGAAAGCACAGTGAATACTTTTAGGAACAGAAATGGACTGTGTTGAAGACAAATGATCCAGTGAGCTTGTGTTCAACAGCCCAAACATCAGGGCTTCCCTGGTGGCGTAGTGGTTAAGAATCCGCCTGCCAATGCAGGGAACACAGGTTCGAGCCCTGGTCCGGGAAGATCCCACATGCCATGGAGCAACTAAGCCCGTGCGCCACAACTACTGAGCCTGCGCTCTAGAGCCCGCGAACCACAACTACTGAGCCCACACGCCACAACTACTGAAGCCCGCATGCCTAGAGCCGGTGCTCCGCAAAAAGAGAAGCCACCGCAATGAGAAGCCTGCACACCACAACGAAGAGTAGCCCCCGCTCACTGCAACTAGAGAAAGCCCACGCCCAGCAACGAAGACCCAGAGCAGCCAAAAATAAATAGATAAAAATAAATTTATCAAAAAAAAAAAAAACCCTCAAAGAACGTGTGTCTGTGGAGAAAGCATTAACGTTAGACTCCTCAGGACTACTCAGGCTGTAGGCCCCAGGAGAGCTGTGGGAGCTCTAGGGCTTATTGAAGAAATCATGTGACTGTCACGTGCTTAAGGTTTGTAATGTCTGGCTGCCTTACAAGGAAAGTAAAGTGGTGCGTTTAGAAAAAAAAATAATAATAAGCAACTGGATCTCCTGCCTCCAGTTTGCTACCCTCTGACCTCTCCGGCACAGGCAATCAGGTTACTCATCCTAAACCACAGCTCCCGTAAAACCCGCAGTGTCTCCTGGATCAAATCCAACTTCCTTGCCTGGCTCACACAGCGTGATCTGTCTTCCTTTGCAAACTTGCCTCCCGGCACTCCTACTAGGACCCCTTTTCTGCAGCCAGACTTCCCCACATTTGCACCTTTCCTAAAGCTTCTCATCCGCTGGGAAGCCCTTCTCCTTCACAAGCATCTCTGCACAGTGGGACAAAGTCGCTTGCACAACACTAGTCATTCATGTCCTTCACCAGAGTGTTTCCAGCCCTCCGCCTTCTGGGCACAGGCTGGAATTGGAAGTTAGGTGTGGCCCTGTGGCTAACTGTGGGCAGGGAAGTGGCAAATGGCAAATGATACACACCTCTTCCAGGTAGGAGCATGAGGACGCAATGCACAATCCCCATACCTTCTCTCCCTGGCTAGGTGATCCTGGAAGCACATGCTGAGATAAGACAAGACCCCCATTAGCCTGCAGCCCTAGGTGGCTGCAGTGAGCAGAGACTTCTACTGCTGTGCATTTGATATGTTGCATCAATGAGAACTAAGCTTTGGGGATGTTAAGCCACTGAGAGTCGAGGTTGGTTTGTTACTGCAGCAGGTCTAGCCTATCCAGATTGAAACACTACTTTCTCCATGAGGGTTTCCTTCCCTCTAAACCAGAACTACGTCTGTTCATACCTCTACTGTGGAATTTATCACCTTTTCTTTGCATTTCTGTCAATGTCGTATGCACCTTTGAGTCCTCAGAGCCTAGCACACTGACTGGCACCACCCCCGGAATAAATAGAAAATAAGTCTGCCCCTCCCATCATACGAAGCATTCCAAAGCTAAAGAGAAGATATCAGAAAATAATTTTCTGCGTATTGTGACAAAGTCACCTACGGAACTCTGTAGGTACTACCTTGGTACCACAGTCACCAATGACACAATACCCTTCAATTAGTGTAGATGATGGAAAGTAAGCTGGATCCGAAGTAACATAAAGGAGAGGCACTTGTGGCACTAAAACCTGCTGCCCTGCTACAAAAGGAGTGTCTCGTATCATCTCCCAGGTTCCTGGAGCATCCTCTTTTAACTCACGGAGCTGTGAATTCCTTGCACGTAGAAGGCACTCAGTGCTGTCATTTGAATGCAAAGCACATGCCCTGCATTTACTGCGATTGCAGGCTAGGAGGAGGTGATGCAGGCCAAGACCCTTCCCCTGACACTGTGTCATGCCAGCTTACTGAGTGCACACCAAGCGTGTGACACAGGAAGAAGTGTAACCACATGTCCTGACATCAAACCCATGACGTGTGACGTCAGTGCTTTTATTCCTAAACTGTAAGTGAGGAAACCCAAGAGCAGAAGCCCGAGCTTCTTTTTTTGTTTGTTTGTTTGTTTTTAATGTTTATTTATTTTGGCTGTACCGGGTCTTAGGTGCGGGCATGCGAACTCTTAGTTGTGGCATGCATGCGGGATCTAGTTCCCCGACCAGGGATCGAACCCGGGCCCCCTGCAATGAGAGCGCGGAGTCTTAGCCACTGGACCACCAGGGAAGTCCCCTGAGCTTCGTAGTATGCTGACATGCTCATCAGCTTCATGGCCTCATTCTTCCCTGCAACCACATTTAGAGAGCTCTTACGTGGACCAGGAAAATCAAAACGTCCTCGAGTGCAAGCTCTGATTGAGGAGAGTACCAGATTCTGGAAGAACTGAGGAAGGAGAGATTAACTATGCCTGTGAAAGCTCCACAGATGTGGCATTTCAGCTGAATTTGGATTTCACCGAGAGAAGGAGAAAAGGGGTGGTGGGGGGTGATGTGAGAAAGATGCCAGGCAGATGCAGTATTGCTGTCAAGGCCAGGGACGTGGGTGGGCGTTATGCAGGGGGAAGGCAGAATTTCCTCGTGACCACTAAACAACTGGTGTTTAGAAAGTGCATGTTTACCTTCCACTGGGGAGTAGGTGTCAGGTATGCAAATCTTGCTCTAGAAGATTAAGCTACATTCACGGATGACGGCTCCCTCAGTGGTTCACCCTGCTCTCCGCCCATTCCACACCTCTCCCACACCACTTGTCTGCAGACGGGTCCTCTCGGGAGTGGGATTTGCCTGCAGGCCTGGAGTGATCTGCTTCACCTGGGTTTGCTCCCCTTCTCACCAACTTGAGCAGCAGCAGAGCTGCTGGGTCTGCCGACGCGGCCACAATCCCTCCCATGTCATCACCAGTCGAAGCCAGTGTCTTTCAGCCTGTGGTCAGTCCACTAAGTGGCTCTGGCCCCAAGGACATTGGGACAGTCAGAGTGGCCTTCTGAGGGGCCCCCCAGGGGACAGAGTCCCGGGGTCAAGAAGAGAAGGACTTACCCGGGGGATGGTAGCTTGGGAGTGGGAGTGTTTGTGGGGGGGGGGGGAGAAAGCTGGTGATGGAGGCCCTGTGAGTTGGTCACTGCAGCAAACTACATGGGCCTCAGGCTGACATCTGAGTTTGAGTCTGGATTTACCCCCTAGGAGTGTGAGAACCTGGCTATATCCTTTAGGCTGTCTGCTCTTGGGTTTCCTCACTTACAGTTTAGGAATAAAAGCACTGACGTCACACGTCATGGGTTTGATGTCAGGACATGTGGTTACACTTCTTCCTGTGTCACACGCTTGGTGTGCACTCAGTAAGCTGGCGTGACACAGTGTCAGGGGAAGGGTCTTGGCCTGCATCACCTCCTCCTAGCCTGCAATCGCAGTAAATGCAGGGCATGTGCTTTGCATTCAAATGACAGCACTGAGTGCCTTCTACGTGCAAGGCATT